ACCTATGAGTTACTAATTCATTATATGCCGCTTAAACATGTGTAGCCCATCAAGAAATGGTACTATCTCCAGTTCCATGGAGCGTATCCATTTTAGACGGAAGCATGAAGTTCTATTTAAAATGGTGTTGTTGTTTGAACAATTTTATTAAATATGAATTAGCATTAAAAAAATAAATATTGTTCATAGATTTTTAAAGAATTTTTTTTCCGGAGAGTCTAATGTTTTGAGCTTTTTGAAAACTCATAAAAATAATATTTTTAATATTTTGATTAAAGATATTTTTAAAAATTCCACGATTCTCTGCGAAGATATTGCAGAAATTTTACTAGAAATGAGTTCTTGAAAAATCTATATTTTCCCTCCTGTTGAGATTATTTAAATTGTTGACCCCATATGGAGTAGGTTCCGAAGGAATGGACCAATATTGTCCATTTCGTAACGGACCTGAATGGATGCGATATAAATATTGGTTTGGAATATATCGGCTGCTTCCTTCACTTTATATCAGATATGTGATAATTTGTAGAAATTGTAGTCGAACGAAGTATTCCATTTTCAAACTTCGTCTAATGCAGATAAAAATATGGATATGGACAAAATTACAAGAAAATCGAATATTTATATCTAATTTTATGCGAAATTATAAATTCCATATCCGTATCAGATTTCTGGTTAAGAGAAATATTTAGATATAGCAAGTTGTTTCGCAACTTATGATAGATATAAGTGCAGGGTGAGATACAAAAACTGCAATCACTTTCAGACTGCTGTCATTTCTAAGCCACTCGTCCGACAGCTGTTAAAATTATTCCAGTGGCAGGTCATTATATTGTTTACAAGCATACAAAAGCATTTTTGGAATTTTCCAGAAAAAAAGTTATTCGTGATGGAATTCATAATTTTATTTGGCTGGTAAACCACCAGGGGCTATCGTTAGAGCACTCCAGCATTTAAATTGAATAAATCGTTTGTGTCTCTTGCCATCGGTCGTTACCGTGCTACTCTGGTAGCGTAGCCCGATGTCAAAGAATTGGACGGAAGAAAACAGCAACATCAGCAGAAATTGTTCGAAAAGTAAAGAAGCGACTTGATCGAAACCCGCGTCGCAGTGGCCGAAAAATGGCTCGTGAGCTGAACATATCGTAATATTCCATTTAGCAAATATTGAAAAATGAGCTCGGGGTAAATCCATTGAAATTCCAAAATGTGCAAAGACTTACACCGCAACAGAAACAAAAAGAAAATAGACTCAAAAGAGCTTAAGAGTTGCTTCGCTTGGCCAAAAGTTGTGAATTGCCGAATTTGGTTTTCTCCGATGAGAAAACATTCGTTGTCCAGCAGTTTGTAAACAAACAAAATTATCGTGTCTACTTGCCAAAGAGGTCAGCTGAAAATGTGAACCTTCGGTTAGCCACCACAACTCAAGCGCTGGCCATGGTGATGGTGTGGGCCAACATAACAGCCGATGGTCGCTCTCCGCTCGTATTAATCGACCGTGTCATCAGAATAAATGCTGAATATTATCGCGAAAATATTCTGGAGGGTGTATTAAAACCTTGGGCACGCAAACATTTTGGCCGCAGACCTTGGACATTCCAACAGGACTCCATCCATCATCGCACTCAGCACGCGCCACCCAAGAATGGTTGCAAAATGAGTTTCCTCACTTCATTTCCAGCGCACAATGGCCACCCAAGTCTCCGGATACCAATCCTTTGGGCTTTTGTGTCTGGAGTATTTTGGAAAGCAAGGTTGGCACTAAAAAATAATAAAGTGTCGATCACCTTAAGCAAGCGCTTCACCGGGAATGGGGCAAAATACCGCAGAGCAACATTCGGTCAGCGTGTGACGGTTTCATTGGCCGTTTGAAGGCCTTAATTCGTGCCAAGGATAACCAATTCAAACAAATGTAAACTTATTCTAAAATTTGTTGATATTTCCGACTTTTTTGCATTAATTCATAAAAATGTAAAAATTATGGCGTTTGACTTTTTTTCAGTTTTTTTTTTATTTCACCCGGCACTTTTGCAATGAAATAGTGTGCTGGGTAAACATCACTCTGTACTAACATGATCCGTTCTAGCATTCAGTTATTTTCTTTGTCTAAAAACAAAACAATTGAAATTATCCCACGCTCTCCAGAAGAAACAAAAAATACTTTTACTTTAAATTAAAAATCTATTAGATTAGCAGCTTCTTGTTGTGACACCCAATAAAAAATGAGAATGACAGAAACAAAAAAAAAAAAAAAATAAATAAAAACAATGAAAAAAAAAATCTTATTCAATCTTATGTAGAAACAAATGCTAATAAATATTCATAAACTTATTTGTGAAAAACAAAATCAAACTAAAAATAAAACAAAAATAAATATGGGCAAGTACCCAATAACTAGCCAGTAACTTGGCGTTAATGTATCTCAAGAAGAAAAATATGAGGCAACATCAGCATATGGCGTGAGTAACTTTACTTAACTTTCAAAACAAAAATCACAAAATTGATGCTCCCCAAGAGTAGAAAAAGAGAGAGGACGGAGGACAGGTAGGGGGTGGTGATGGTGGAAAAATATTACACCAGTTTCAATTTTTTTTTCTTCAAAATCTCGAATGTAATAATAATAATATGCTGCAATATTTAATTGTGATTTTATTGCATTGCTGCTCCACATACAAAAACCATACCTACACACACGTACATTCACACGTACATACTTTGATGATTTACAACAAACAAAAAATTGCCAAAACTATGTCAGTCTGACACTAGGTATCCGAGCGCGCCTGTCTGACTTTATATTGTCATGTGTTTTTGATGGCAGTGAGTGAATAAGTGCCAGAGTGAGATCTCTTTTTACAGGTTTTGACATTTTCATGTTGACGTTGTTTCGTCGCGTCTGTCAGCATTTTTTTTTGGTTCCTTCGTCTTTCAAATAGATTATCATTGGATTGAGTGGTCCACATACTATTCATTTGTATATAGAGCAAATAATTAATTTTTTGTAGGTGCTGCAGATGTCTTTGATATTTTGGAATTTTTCATTTGTTATTTTCAATTAAGACAGCACAACGAGGCCTGTCATTATAACATTATTTTGATGATTTTCAAAAATTAATGTAAAATAAATAAACTGCAACAAAGTCAAACGGCATACTTTTTACATTTTTTTTAAATTTTATTGAATCAAAGCAAAAAATGACGGAAATAGCATCAACTTTTAGAATAAGTTCAGATTTGTTCGAATTGGTCACCTTTGGCACGAATTATGGCCTGCAAAGGGCCAATGAAACCGTCACACGCTGCTCGAATGTTGCTCTGCGGTATTTTGGTCCATTCCCTGCGAAGCGCTTGCTTGAGGTGATCGTCACTTTGGTATTTTTTAGTGCCAACCTTGCTTTCCAAAATACTCCAGACACAATATTCCAACGGATTGGTGTCCGGAGATTTTGGTGGCCATTGTGCGTTGGAAATGAAGCAAGGAACTTCATTTTGTAACCATTCTGGGGTGGCGTGTGCTGATTGCAATGGTGCTGAGTGCTGTTGGAATGTTCAAGGTATGCGGCCAAAATGTTTACGTGCCCAAGGTCACCCTTCAGAATTTTTTCGCGATAATATTCGGCACTTATTCTGATGCCACGGTCGATTAATACGAGTGGAGATCGACCATCGGCTGTTATGGCGGCCCACACACACCATCACCATGGCCGGCGCTTGAGTTCTGGTGGCCAACCGAAGGTGCACATTTTCAGTTGATCTGCGGCCAAAATGTTTACGTGCCCAAGGCCACCCTCCAGAATATTTTCGCGATAATATTCGTCATTTATTCTGATGGCACGGTCGATTAATACGAGAAGAGAGCGGAAAGCGACCATCAGCTGTTATGGCGGCCCACACCATCACCAATGTCGCGCTTGGGTTCTGGTGGCCAACCGAAGGTGCACATTTTCAGCAGATCTCTTTGGCAAGTAATCACGATCACGATTTGTTTGTTTGCAAACTGCTGGACAACAAATGGTTTCTCATTGGAGATAACTAAATTCGACAGTTCGCCACTTTCGGCCAAGCGAAGCAACTCTTTAGCTCATTGAAGACTATTTTCTTTTTGTTGCGGTGTAAGTTCTTGTACTTTTTGGAAGTTCAATGGCTTTACCCCGGGGTCATTTTTCAATATTTTCCGAATGGAATATTGCGATATATTCAGCTCACGAGCCATTTTTCGGCCACTGCAACGCGGGTTTCGATCAAGTCGCTTGTTTACTTTTCGAACCATTTCAGCTGATTTCGCTGTTTTCTTCCGTGCACTTCCTTGACGTCGGGCTACGCTACCAGAGTAGCACGGTAACGAGCGATGGTAGGAGACACAAAAGATCTATTCACATTTAAATGCTGGAGTGCTCTAACGATAGCCGCTTGTTGTTTTCACACTATCACGCTTAAATTATTCGTGATGTATAATTTTTTTTCTGGAAAAATCTCACCAAAATTCTTTTGTACGCTTGTAAACAATATAATGAGCTGTCACCGGAATAATTTTAAAAGCTGTCGGACGAGTGACTTGGAAATGACAGCAGTCTGAAGTTGAATGCAGTTTTTTCATATCACCCGGTATATTTGATTTTTAGAGTTAAAATCAAAATTTGAAAAAAAAAAATAATTTAAAATTGTTGCGTTCGTCAATAAAAAACAGTGTCTTATTTTAAGTCTCATAATTTGCATCTAATTTCTTTCCTTTAACATTGCATTTTCCCACAATTTGTTTTATTATTTTTTTAAAATACATAAGTCTTGTACCATTTTCCTGGAATACCCTTGTACCTGGGCTGCATTAAATAGCTCAATTTTTTTTACATCAGCGTTTTTGATGAACTTTAAAATGTTCCTTTTTATTTTGTTGTTGTTTCAATTCGTGTCATATAAATGCGTTTGTTTTTTATTTTTAATGTCTTAGAAAAATGGTTATGTGATACTAATTTCTTTATTTTGTTTTCTTTCATTTCCAGGTTCATCATGCCTGACGGAGGGCTGCCGAAACGGCGGGACATGTATAACGCATAAAAATGGTGTTTCAACTTGCAAGTAAGTAGTAATACATTCAAATATACACATATACATACATATTCGTTGTACATATCATACAAATTAAAACTACAACAACACATGACATTTATTGTTGTTGTATTTTTTTTAATTTTTAAGTGTTATTTTTTTTGTTACGTGTGGCATATTTTTAATGTTCTTCGGGTTCACAGTAAAAAGTTAAAAATTATTTCGCCCAAAAATTGTCGGCCAGGTTTTTTGAGGTTTGGGTGATAAGAAGATGTAGCTAAAAAAGAAAACAACAACAACAAAAAGGAACACAATTTTAATAAATAAACCTCGGTTTATTTTAGGTAAATTATGACAGTTGTATTTTGAGTGACATCTTTTCTTTTCTTTTTTTATTTCGTCTGTGCGCTTTTGTGTTTGTCTCCATTTAAATTTTGATCAGTTTTTTTCTCTTGTTTCTTTTTGGTTAATGACAAATACGTGTAATGAATTTGATATTTTTGTTAAACACAAAATTAATCCGCCTGAATTGTTTAAGAAATTCAAAATTTTCATATATTATTTTATCTTCGCACACAATCAAGTGTGACTGTGAATGACTCAAACCCAAAAATATTGAAATTATGCCTTGAAAAAAAATTTTTTTGGTTATGTCTGGAGTATTTTTTTTAATTTTTTTTTTGTGAATTCATTGAAGGATCTAAAGTGTGAAGGATGAATTTCAAATTAGTAATTTTCATTGAAATCAAAAAATGATTTATAATTCACTTTTGCATTGACATGTGATGGCAGATAAACTTGGAATTTAACAGGCGGATTATGAATATGTTAGGAGAAACAAAAATTAAAAAATAAAAATTGGTTTTTCTTTGTTCAATACACATTGTTCACATTGGTTAAAATAATTGTCCAAAATCTACAAATTACAAGGAACAAAAAACTTGAAAAATTGCCTCGCTCTTAGATAAAATATTTTGGCTATCACAGTATGAATCAGGTGCATTTTAAGTACAGTTTATGAACATTTTTCCTTAAAAAAGTGTAACATAATACAACCTCAGCCATATGGTCACAGAGGGTATATATCATTTGAAACGACCAAAAGTGTCTCATAGAAATAATGGTTTAGAGCCCAGGTGTCTTTGGGCGAAATCCGTTTCATGATATTTGGAGTCGATCCAGAAGGTGTCCGTCAATCTGTCTGGCTTGTGCGCATGTTAACTCTAGAAGGGAGTATTCGATTCGACCCAAACTTGGTACATCGTAATATTTTTGTCAAACTTAAGTCGAGTTGGGAGCTTGGAAATATCGGTCCACTCCTTCTAGTACCTTCCCCAAAAAAAGGTAAAATTTACACAGAAAATAATTAGCTGATACAACTAGAAGTATTTTTATCAGTGCTAAGTCAGGCGAGCAATTGGACAATATCGGGCCACTCCATCAAGTACCTCCCCCAAAATGGGTTCACATTTTGAATAATCAAGAATGAAACTCATAAAGCGTGAAATGAGCATTAGATTCTTTTCAAACTCGAAACATAATAATATTTCTATCAATTCAAGGGTCGAAGTTTTGAAAAATTATAACTCGTGTAGAATGGGAAACATGAGTTCGATTCTCTCCAAATTTCAAAAATCCCTCCCCCACAAAGGGGTCAAAATTTCGAATAACTAAAACGCTCATAGAATGCGAAGAAAGATTCCGATTCTCTTCAAATTTCAAATCTCTCAATATTTTTACCAAAACAAGATCTGGTATGAAGAAGGGATAGCATAGGCAACTACTTCTGGTACCTCCCCCACAAAGGGCTCAATATTTTGAATAACCATGAAGATCAAACTCGGCACATCCCAATATATCCATCAGTACAAAATCTAGTGTGAAGATGAGATGTATCGACCACCTTCTTCTGGCACCCTTCCCACAACTGCTCAAAATGTTGAACAACTAAAACGCTCATAGAATGCGAAGTATGCGTCCGATTCTCTTCAAATTCCACACATCCCAATATTTCTTCCAACTTCACTTCATATCCCAATATATCTTCCAACGCAAGATCTGGTGTGAAGTTGGAATAAATTGGTCCACTCCTTCTAATACCTTCCTCCACAAATGGGTCAAAATTTCGAATAACCAAAAAGCGAAATATGCGTCAGATTCTCTTCAATTTTTACAGATCCCACTATTTTTATTAACAAGAGGTTTGGGGTAAAGATGGGATATATTGGTGCACTCCTTCTGATACCTGCCCAAAAAAGGGGCAAAATTTTAATTAACTAAAACGCTCATAAAATGCGAAGTAAGTTTTCGATTCTCTTTGAATTTCACACATCCGAATATTTCTTCCAACGCAAGATCTGGGGTGAAGAAATGTTAGAACTGACCACTACTTGTGGTAAGGGGTCAACATTTCGAATAACCAACACCCTCATAAAACCCTCAGAAAAAGATAGATCGGTCCACTTACCCCCAAAGGGTTCAAATTCATCCTAAATTCATTCCAAAACGAAATATTGTCTGATATCGGTCTACCCCTTCTGGTACCTCCTTCCAATCACACTTTTCAATATTTATATCTCTCAGATATTGCAAAAATGTCAGTGATTCTTTTCAAACTGGGTTTCTCTTAACCAGAGTTCTGATGTGAATATGAAATTTATCGGCCCACTCCTACTTCAGATCCAAATCAGAAGTAAATGAAGTGAAATACTTCTGCCCACCTCATGCACATTTCAAATTTTTCAATTTTTAAAAAAGAATTTTGACATATCGCATATGAAGTGAAGGAAGTAGTTCAATGTTTTCAAAACCTGGCACGTTGTAATATTTATATCAGACTTAGGTCAGATACGAAAAAAAGTGGACCAATACACTTCCTCGGAACCGACCCCAATTAAAAGTTCAACAGTTTAAATAATCATAACACAAGTCAAAATATTCTTTAATAAACGGACAGAGGTTGATGGTATATATCTGTCGGCAAAAACGACCGTAACTTTTCAATTGGTTTGAATATTTTTGAGAATTGTTTTAAAGAATTATTTTTACCCAGGATTTCGAAAAGCTATGTGTATTAGCGAGGATATTTTAATTTTTTGTTTTGTAATTTTATTTTTCCCTTTTTACTCAAAAGGACAAAAGAGACGTTTTTTAATAATTATGAGGCCGTGTTTAGATATTTTAATTCTAAGAGATTCCATTTTTTGCAGTCAAGTTTATAAGATCTAAGAATTTTCAATTCTATAAAAAATGAGTAAAAAGAATGACATTGAGATAGTGGCACACATTTGTTTATTTTCCAAATAAAATGTATACGGCCATTTAAAACTACCGCTTTTTTCGTTCAGTAGATAGCCCATTAAAATGCTCACGAAAATTTGGAATTTTGGAAATTTTCCAAAAAAATAAAGGCAGATGTTAGACAAACTGCCACCTGAAGCATCGAACAAACAAACAAAAAAGTATTCATTACAGGTTCAGGCACACATGATTAGGTTTTTCACAACAACAATAAGTACAAAAGAAAACTCTATCATCGAAACAGGTAGGAAAATTGAAATAAAGGTGGTTCCTCTGGCCAGAGGAGGAAACGACGCTATACATGCGGTGTGTACGCTTAAATAGTTTATAATTTAGGATTAGTTATGTATCCCAGAATCCGGGGAATGAACGAACAACAACATGGTCGATCTCATACTCATATTTCACAAGAAGAAAATGCAACAACAAAAACAAATACCGAAACATAATGGTAAAAGGTGCAGCATCAGCATCATCAACAGAAACAACAACAACATTGGAGGCATGGCATCTCAATACAACATAGTTTTGTTGTAGCTGTTGTGTGTCATTACTCTGTGAAAGAATCTCAAAAATGAAATGCTACAACTCAAGAAGAAGCAGAATTGGAAAAAAACTATAGAAAGAAAATAATAATGACAGCAACAACAACAGCAACAACAACGACTTATTCAATACTAATTGATGGCTTAACTGGAAATACAAGGCGAGTAGAAGAAATGGACGGCAACGTAATATTTAATGACAATACACAGATATATACATGTGTATGTGTGCGTTAGTGGACATACAAATGTATGGTAACACCTTATAGTCTGTTTGACCATCTAGCCAGCCAGGTAATGCCATAAGCATTTCCGCTTTTCGTTCCAACCGGTAACTATATATTTCTGATGTGTGTGCGAGAGCTGGAGATCTCTTGTCTCGTTGATGATTGTTTCAACATTCTGAGATAATAGAAAAAAACCAGATTACCCGATTGATACAAATCAAAATGTCATTAAGATGGGTACAGCGAGAGATGGGAAAAAATATTAGAAGCAAAAATCGGAATATTTTTGGAACAAATAATTCTCAAAAAAATATAACTTTTTTATTTAAAAAAAAAAACTGTTCACAGAAAACAAACGCAAGTAGTTTGAGCTTTGAAAATGTTCTCTTAAAGAGTATCAGTCGGTATGGCCGACAGATGTATAGCCTTGAGCATTATTTGAGTATATTTTGTTTTGCGTTATTATTATTCAGAATGATGGCCTTATATATCATATCTGACCTAAATCTGATATTAATATGCTCCAGATTTGGACTATATCAACTACTTCCTTCGCTTCATATGAGATATGTGTATATTTTTTGGAAAATGTTGAACTTCTTTCACAAGGTTAAACAGTAAAAGTGGCCGATACATCCCATTTCTTCTAATTCTAACACAAATATTGTGCAACAATTAAGCAAAGGAAGGAAATCGAACAATGATTTTCAATTTTATGCAAATAATTGTTAATCAAAAATTTAAGATTTGTGGGGAGTTGACCCTATATTTACATTAGACCCATGACTGATAAAAATGTTGAGATACACCAAGTTTGAAGAAAATCGCAGACTTGTTTCGCATGTTATAAGGATCATTGAATGTGTGAAGTTGGAAGAAAATCGGATGCCTATAAACCATTTTATGAGCGTTTTTGTTATTTAAAAATTTGATACTCTGTGGGAGGGGTACCAGAAGG